GAAAGACAGGATTGGGATGCAACATGACCTTGATAAACTGGAGAAATGGTCTGAAGTAGACAGGGTGAAACTCAGGTGAGACAAATGAAAAAGACTGTCCCTCTCTACACTGAGAGAGGGACAATCAAATGCAAAATTTACAAAATGGTGAAAGACCAACTAGTAGACATAAAATTTAAACACACAAAAACCCTAAACTATGCATGTACTTATGCTCTAAAAATAGTGAAATACATAGAAATACACACTTTAAATTTCATTATACTATCTTCAAAAAAACTTAGAGAAAATGAAAAAAGCCCACAAAATGTAAGTATAAGAATTTTCACTTTTTTACTAGTTACATGGAGAATTAACAGTGCTGTCTACAGAACATGCATGTCTGTTTTAGGATATGTCTATATCATATTGTTTTATCTGCTTACAAAATAATATGTTTATGTATTAGACTTATAAGCTGCCTTTTCCAAAGGCTCAGGGTGGCTTACAGTAAGAGAAAAAATAAAAGCAGCAGGTAGAATATTAATGAGGGATATAAAACAAAAAAATCCCTGAACAATACCCTAAACTTAGCCTTCCTTGCTAAATGCCTGCTCAAACAGAAAGGTCTTGCAGTGATTCTTGAAGATGTCAATGCCTGCCAGAGCCGAGGCTTGAGGGGAAGGGAATTCTAAAGTTAAAGGCAAGCTATCAGGGAGCCAGCTGCTCTCTGTTACTCCCTCCCCCTTGGAAAAAGGGAAGGTAGAGCAGTCCTGTGGGATACTAAGGGTCTCTTTCTGTCCCACTACACTTGAGTGTAAAGCGTGATGAATGTTATGTCTGCCAGAGCCCTTTGTGTCCAACACCAGTTAGAGGAAGTAGTTATTCCAGGATCTACAGCAGAGGTGTGTACTCAGCTGGAGTACTGAAACCAGCTTTGGGAACCATTCTTTAAGAAAAAGATGTGGAGAAATTAGAAAGTCCAAAGAAGATGCAGATACCACTAGCAGGTTCATAGGATATCTCACCAAAAGGGTCAGGAGATCCAGATACTAAATCTGTCTTAGCCCTTCGGGGACTATTAATTATAACTAGGGGTGTCTCACCTTACAGAAGACTCATAGGATCAAAGATGTGGAGACTACTTGACTACATTATCATGATCTTTGTGTTGCTAAGTGAGACCTGGCTCTGTGTCTTTGGCAATGGAAGTTCTGCCATTTTCTGAAGGCCTTACTGAGCCCAAGCAAAATTGCTCCCTGTGTTTTCCACACTCTGATCTTTGAGTGTTAATGCCAGACAGTGGAATTATGTCTGTTTCTAGGCCTTTTTGAACTTCCAAGTTACCCCGGAGGGTCGGGAAATCTCAGACTTGGAACTCCTTAGTCTTCTGGAGTCTTGTCCATCAGCTGTCTAGACTGAGAGGTCTCCAGGGGCTCACCTCCCTCATGAAGACTCTGCTAGTTAAGGAGAGTTTGTTCTTTGCCTCCATGATGAGAGGCAAAAGATTACCTCAGTTTAATTCAAGCAGATCTTCCTTTAGATACTGAGACTGGCACATACACTTCCAACACCTAAGTGTGCATATTTGAAGGGGTATATGTTGTACCCGTGCTGGTCTAAGAAATACAGACAAACAAAACTCTCAGGTTGGAAGCGATATCTTTTATTAGATCAACTAAATAATAGAAAAAAAAATTCTTTCTTTACAAGTTTTTGGGTCCAACACCCTTCTTCAGGAGGAGGAGAATTCAATGACGGTAAAGGTTCTCCCAAGCAAAAAAGAAACTTCATTTCTTCTCTACCTGGGAGAACTTTTACAGTATTTGAATTCTCCTCAGCCTGAAGAAGGGTGCATATTTGAAAGCATCTTTATGTGCTGTAACAATTTAAAAAAGCACCCACCCTAAAGAGACATCAATATATTTCAGGGCAAACATGGTATGGATTTCAAATCTCTCAGTACATATGAAAAAAACAATGTCAGAAAAGGAAATCCTAAAGTTATGATGAACAAAAATTCAACTTTTAAAAGGTAACTAAAAACACCTTCCTCCCCTATTTAAAACAGGATACGTTATAAAACCTTACCAAAGGGAGAGTCGTCTTTAACAAACCCAAAGTCCTAAAGGAATTTCTGAAGTCATGACCCCACTCTGAAATGCAATGAGCTTCATCGACAGCTATGAGTGTGATACCTTGAAGGAAAAAAATCCACAGTACAAACTGAACAAAGAAATTATGTAACACATATAGACATAGACACAGAGGCTGCATCTACACATGCAGTTTACTGTGGAGCTGACTAATTAGTTTCACAGTAAAGTGTCACTGTCTACATGTTTATTAGGATGCAGTTAATCAATTAACTCCATCAAAATGCACATGTAGACAGTGACAGGGGCAGGCTGGGGCACAAGAGTACTAAAGTGTGGGGGACTGCCTGCTGACTAGCCCTGTACTTTAGCACCCTTGTGTGCCAGTCAGCCCCTTCACTGACTGATGCCACCCGACACAGCCTGAGGCTGACCCCCCAGGCTGCCTGCCAGCTCGGGGCTGCTCTGCCTTGGCTCAAACTGCTGTGGTCCCAGGTGCACACGCAGACACTGCGCCTGGGAGCCGTTTTCTCCAGCACAAACTGTGCCAGAGTTTATAATGTTGCCTTTATGGCACATGTGGATGTACCCAGAAAGTCCTAAAACAAAAAAACTTCAGTTTGCATATGTTAACATTTCACAGCAAGAAGTCTGAGAAAATTGAGGTCAAGTTCTGAGGTACTACAAGCAGGAATCTCACGTAATTCTTGAATGACTTAATTTGTTCAGGTTTTTGAAAATGGTTGTCACCAACTCTGGGAACCCATTTTCACATTGACTTTTTTTTTTTTTTTTTTTTGGAAGAAACCACAAGAGATTTTTCAAATCTGTCCTCTCTGCCTCAGCGCCACACTTTTCTTTACCAAGTCTTTGCCCTCAAGCTCATCTTTGATAGCATGTTTATAACTTCACCTCTTCCCACTCCTCCCACTTCTAGCAGGTAGGGCACACTTACAGACTCCATACAGGTAAACTAGACAGAAGACAGACTGCAAAGATGATCGCTACTCCACCCCCTAACCTATTCTTGTACAGTAAACACCACTCATAATACAGTAAAAGCTATGTTATCTGGCACTTTACCATCTGAAATGCTCCATTAACCGGCATCTGCCATCTTACGTATCACCTGCCAATTGACGCGGCAAAAGCAAAACCGGAAGTCCCACCATGGCACTTCTGGTTTCACCGCCGCAAGCTGAGTCCCACTTCTTCCTTGTGGACTATGGCCCAGGGCAAAGCAGCATGCGCAGGGCCCCCCTCTCTGTCCCCTGGCACACTGACGCCAGGGAGTGAAAGCCCTAGTGCCAGGCTGGAGATAAGTGCAACTCCCAGGTAACCAGCATATTTGATTAACTGGCACCCTCCATTCCCCATGGATGCCGGATAACAGAGCTTTTACTGTAAATACATTACAGTTTAAACTATTGCTTTGTCTCCTCAACTGTCACTTACATCAGCCTGTTACATGAGGTGTATACAATTCGATGGTCTGTCTTGGAGCTCTCAAGCACCAACATATTGGATCAGAACAAAGGGCTGTATAGCTTAGTACAGTGATTCTCAAACTTTTTTTTCACGGGCCACATGCAAATTGCTGCGGGTCTCGGTGGACCACTTAATAAACTTTTTTTTGTTCTACAATTCAAAGCACACAACTCATATTTTAATCCCAGTAGTCTTACTTTACAAGTACAGATATTCTCGACTGTTCCGCAACCTTTCTGCGGACCACCTGAATGGAGTTCATGGACCAGTGGTGGTCCATAGACCACAGTTTGAGAGCCTCTGGCTTAGTATCCTTCCTGACAGTGGCAAGTAATGGATTCCTTAGATCAGGAGTGTCAAATATATGGTGTGTGGGCTGGATCTGGCCCAGGAAGCTTCTCTGTCCAACCTGCCAGGCTACTAGAAGGCCACTGGAAGTCAGGGGGTGTGGCATGCCACGGAATTTAGAGACCTTAGGCTCCGCTGCCCATGGCCATTGGCAGCGAGTCTGGCTCACCACCGGGGCCCGCCCACAATTTTTTGGGGTCCCTGTGACAGGGGGCAACTCTCAGGGCCAGGTCTCATGCCAGCCCCCACCTGTCTCTATGGGGCAGTCTGCCCAGTCTCATGTGCCATGACTTTTCTGTTCCCGTAAACTGGTGGTATAATGTGGGAAGCTGCCCATTCCCAGCCCCGATGCCTAGTGTTCCAAAATGGCCGCCCTCATCAGGCATCTGGCTGCTGCCTGCCTCTGCCTTTAAAGTGGCAGG